AATGCGCACACATGATGTCGGGACAATAAATGTAACTGAAAAAACAATATTAAGCCGCCGCACACATCAGAAGTATGAACGCGCACACATGTTGTTGGCTAAAAAAGAAACGCATACGACGCACCAAGAATGTACAACAAAAATTTGAGAAGTGAAAATGACATCCGCACACATCCAACCCTAGCATGCGCACAAATGTTTGTAGAACAAAAAAGACGAACAACTGCGCACATGAGAACCCACACATTGGCACATACATCATTGAATACATTATTAATCGTTGAATATAAGCAAAAAGCAGAGTAAATGGCACAACTCCGCAGTAGCCTAATAATGTGCATACAACACCAGTCGAGACCAGCATACAGTTCCAAAACAACGGCAAATAAAAGCCACTAATTCAAAACCCAAAAACGAGCACATTGCTCAAGACCCGTGTGCACACAATAACAAAAATAGCCGAACAAGACTAACAAAATAGGGCAAATATCTACACAGGTGGAAGAGGAGCAGATATAGAATGGTACGCCCGAGAAAGATTGCGCTGCCTGTGCACATTAAACTCCGAAATCACAATCTCCGACATGTAACGTAGCCTGAGCATTTGCAGCGTAGTAGTGTCCCCCTTGAGTAGGCCACAGTCCCAATCATGAACACGCTGGCCAACAAATGACTCCATATGCCGCATAAGAAAAACCCCGCAGTCAATCTTATTCTTCGAATCACGCTAAGGCATTTGCAAGCGCTTTGATTCCGCACAAACACACGCAGCATGTCGCGAAGGAGAACTAACTTCAAAGAATTCAGATAACATCCCCATCTAAAATTAAAAACACAAAAACAATTCAAACATCAGTCATACTAGATACAAAGGAAGAGATCAACCACATAAATAGAATAAAGGGGGTGAAGGGGTTCACAAAGATCAACACTAACCAAATCCTGAACACAATCGCCATATTTCTCCGCCTTTGATTTGGGATTAGAGTCATTGTCAATAATCTCATAACGACACCGCGGAAAATCAACGCACAACAAGAAATAGTGATCATCACGCAAAATCAGGAAAAACATCTGCACACGAGAAAGAAAAACCATATGGGTAAAGCGTACTTGCGCAAATAAATAAATAAATAAATAAATGAAATAACACCGCAGAAATTGGGCACTGTGCACCAAGGACACAGAAGGTGTGCACAGGCAGAAGCAACGAACAACAGAAATTCAGAAAAAATTGAAAGAGTAACCCACAAATACTATGTCAACTTTACAAATATCTTCATAAGGTGACAACTCAAAATCCATCAACAACAGCTCAGAAAACCAAGCCAACCTCTTCTCCGGGGGATGTGAAGTATCAACAATTGTAGACAACTACAAAACTCAGAAACAAAAATAAAAAACCCATGATCCAAACATAAACAAACACAGGAAAACAGCACCACCAACAATAAACAGAAAGGGACGCAATGAAATCAAAACTAACCGTCGTGAACGTAGAAGCAAAAAGGCGTGAAGGTGCCGATCGAGCCTTTGAAGCCTCACGACGATTCAGAACATCCGCCCCACATCTTAACAAAATGTCACCTAACACTACCCAATTAAATTCGAATAACACAGGAAAAATTTAATACACCCAATTAAAAATGCCACCACACAATACCGTACATACTAAAATCACTATAACTGAACAGACATGAGAATTTATCACTACAATACAATATGAAAAAAAACAAGTAAACAGACATCGACATTTAATAAATCAGTAACCATTAAACAGACACGCACACAGGGAAACACCAACATGCACATATTCAAACACCCACACCCAAGCCGCCCAACATGCTAAAACCAAAGCCGATACATAGAATTGGCCAATTGTTCAACAGCCAAACCAACAACAAACACCTACCCCGAATCAATTATCCATCAAATACTATCCCAACTAGCACAAACATACAAAAAAACATTATAAGGAAGAACCCAACCAATGTTATAAACAACTACAAAACCCAAAACTGTGAACCTAAAGTACACTACCAACCGTAAGAAAAACAGATGAAAAAAAAAAAAAAAAAAAAAAAAAAGCCACTGTGAGACAAAAAAAATGAATAAAAACGAAAAAAAAAAAAAAAACCAAAACATATATCAGAAAAAAAGTGAAAAAAAAAAACGCCGCAATAGACCAGAAACTGGCGAAATCCGACACCAACACCCCGGGAACAGCCCCCCGCCGACGACCAACCACCAATCCCCCAGCCAAACACCATAACCAGTCTCCCATCGCAACAATAAACTCCAAAACAAAACCCACACCCCAACTATCACAGCCATCAAACCACCATCAAACCCCCCCTCCCACCGCGGAAACCCACCCAGGACCAAGAAACAGACACCAACAAAAACCCTAGCTATCAAATGCGGCAAAAAAAAAAAAAAAAAAACACAATACCCGCCACCCAAACACACCACCAGACCTACCACCCAGCAAACACCAAAACCACACAGGTTTAACAAAATATATTGCAGAAAAACACAACCCCCCCCCCCCAAAAAAAATCACAATATACAAACCAACTAACCTTGCCCGACAACCGGTGGACCCCTCATCTTCAGTGTTACGCGGTCCCCCCCCCCCCCCCCGACAACCATGGCTACGTGGAATTGAAGACCAGAGAAGCAAACTCGTGGAAGAAACGCGTGATGCAGAGCACGACACCCTCCCCTACGAACGAACACAAAAGAAATGGCAAAGGAGAATGAATGCAGATCGTGCGCGTGAAAATAGGAATACAAACATGTGTATGTTTTAATCAGAAGTAAAATTCCAAACCTACCACCCTTAACATAAAAACCCATCAAATTAGACACTAAACCCACGCTGCAATCACAACCATCGAACTGCTAAATCTAAAGGCCAATAATAGTCCACACGTTTGTATTTTAACATGTGTTTTCACCTGAATGTAATTCTATATATATATATATATATATATATATATATATATATATATATATATAATTTATAGATGTAAATATATACACTTTTTAAGATTGTCAATAAAATATTACAATATAATATAAATATACAATTTGTAATTCCCTAAACAATTTGTTATTTATTAATGTAGTTCATTTATTTTAATTTTCATTCTTTTATTTCCTTTTTTTAATATTTATATATTTTTCGTTTCTTTAATATTTCATTATTTGTATTATATCGTAATCTTAAAGACCATACATCACACACGAACATATATACATTTATGTTTTATTTCTATAACTACTTAAATTAACCATTTTTAAAAGATTATAATCTTATTTTTTTCTGTGCACCGCACGAGTCAATTACTAGCGTGTATATATATATATATATATATATATATATATATATATATATATATATATGTTTGCATGTGTGTGAAATATATGATATTGAAGACATTAATGAGAGTGATTTTTTTTGTCCAAATATTTTAAATTCCATATGTGTGTGAGAAATATATGAAATTTAGGACATTAATGAGAGTGACTTATGACTTTAAATTCCAACATTTTAAATATAACTTATGACTTTCTCATAAAAACACAAAAATAATATAAGGACTTTTTTTTTTTTTTAAATTTTTGAAAGATAACTATTTTCTAACAACTCGCATTATGGCTTTATGCGACAATGAATATGATTATTAAGTGTGTAGCTTAAAGCTTAAGTCTTTGAAGACGAGCTAGATATCCGATTAGGTTAGTGCTCGGTTGAACTCTATTATTATGATTAAAAATATGTATATAAAATTTTTGGATACAAAAGACAACCTTAGACAATGTTAATCAAATGAGTTCTACTATATGCAGTTTCAAATTCTACTCCCTCATTATTACTCCATGTTATGACAACTAACAAAAAATGGTCTGTTATCTTCATCGAGTAAATTTCAAGAAAAATGTAAATATCAAAATTTTGAGTAAGAAAATAAAAATAAGTAGAACTTGACAGTATAGTCCAAGTAAATTTTTCTAATTAAATAACTCTGTATCAATTATTATTGTGTGGACTATGGTTCATACAAGCTGTGGATCATATTTTGTATACTGTAAACTAATGTATATTCAGTACAAAAATAATGTACATTTAGTACAAAAATAATGTACATTATAATCAGATGATGTACATTATTTATGTACTGAGTGTACATTATATTATATAATGTACATTCAGTACAAAAATAATATTCATTTAGTATATTAAAAATGTACTTTTTATTATGATCCATACAACACTGTGTAGACCATGGTCCATACAATAATTTGCTACTCTTGTATAATTGCGAACTTTAAAATCACAAGACCTTTGTTTCACACACACACAAAAAAAATAAATAAATAACTAAATAAAAAAAGGAATAAGGTTCAAATTGGCCACTGAACGTAACCTGAAAATGCAATTAGGCCACTGAACGAAAAAAAAGTGCAATTAGGCCATTGAACACTCAAAAAATGTGCAATTAGACCACTGAACTCTCCAAATGTATGCAATTTTACCGGATAGCAGGTTACCATCAATTTTAGCAAGTTACCTGCTTACGTGACAGCTTAGTTGGCATTTTTAATAATTTTTAAATAATTTTTAATAATTAATTTTAATAATAAATTTTTATAAAAAATTAGAAAAAATTAAATAAAAAATAAAATAAAGTCGTTTTTATTTTAAAAAAAAATTTAATAAAAAGTTATTATTAAAATTTATTAAAAATTAATTAAAATTTATTAAAAATGCCAACTCAGCTGCCACGTAAGCAGATAACCTGCTAAAATTGAGTGTAACCTGCTATCAGGTGAAATTGCACATTTTTGAAGTGTTCAGTGACCTAATTGCACTTTTTTTTCGTTCAATGGCCCAATTTGAACCTTATTCCATAAAAAAAAAATCATAATAAGGCCTTGCGCAAGAGTCCATAATCACTTTACCTGTCAACTACAAGTCGTCAACTTGCAGTCAACACCTGCATTCTTCTTTTTACTATGATAAGCTGCAACTGACACCCTTCAATCTGTTAACGAATCACAATTCACAAGCATCTATGGAAAGCTTTCACTTTTTCAACATCATTCTTTCTCTGTTTCTGCTCCTTCCTTTGCTTTCCATTTTCTTTTCTTTTCCCCTTCACTCACACGCTGATTATGTTTTACCCCATCATTACTTCATCAACTGCGGCTCGGAATTAAAAGTACAAGGATACGGGAGGAATTTCTCCGGCGACGACCACTACACCGACGGCACCAGTGTAGTTGAAGGCCCCAACTTCCCACAGCCACAAGACGGGCTTGAAGCGTTTGATATTTACAAAACTGCAAGAATTTTCAACACAAAGTCTGGGTATGAGCTTGAGACAGACCAGGATGGCCCTTTCACGGTACGCCTTCATTTCTACCCCTTTTCTTCATCCCATAATCTCTACGATGCAAGATTCACCGTCACGGCTCTCGGGGATACTCTGTTGTCGAATTTCGCCGTCAGCAATAGTTCCAACTTGCCAGTCATTAAAGAATTCTTGGTGTCAGTGAAGACTGGCTGGAAGCTCAGGATTGACTTCATACCTTCTCAAGAATCATCTTTTGCGTTTGTGAACGCAATAGAAGCATTCCCAGCCCCTGAAACCTCCATTCCTCCCGATGCTTCGGCTGTGAATGATAGTATGAACATTTATAACTTGTCATCAAATGCTTTACATGTGATTTATAGGATTAATGTCGGGGGCCCAGTAATTACGCCTAAAAATGATTCTTGGTGGAGAAACTGGGAGACAGATAATGATTACCTACTTTCCCCAAATTCGGAGATTACTAATGGGACTGGGGGACCTAAGTACCCCAATGGAGGGGCAACTCAATTCGATGCCCCTGGCTATGTTTACACTACTGCCAGAGTGCTAAATCTTAATGATAATAAGCAGACTAAAGCTTCCAACATAACATGGCGTTTCAGTGTGAATAACAATACTTCACACTTTCTCAGGCTCCACTTCTCTGACATTGTTGCCCCCGGTCCGAATGAGACACAATTCAATGTTTATGTATATGATGAGTTCATAATGGTTAGCCCTTATGATAGAGTTCATGACGTGAATACTCCTTTTTACCTTGATTATGTGGTCGATTCGGATGCGTCTGGTTTCATGAAGGTCAGTGTTAGTCCACTGCTAGGCACAAGTAACTATTCCTTTCTGAATGGTTTAGAGATTATGCAGATAAGTAAGGATGAGGTTAAAGTTCCAGATGGGAGTGGACACAAGGGGAAAAGCTTGGTGATAGTAATTGGTTCGGTTTTTGGTGGGTTGGCTTTCATTTTTCTTTCTGGAGTAGCAGTGTGGTTTTATTTGAAACCAAAGAAGGAAAAGGCAAAACCAGTTGAGGAACAAAGTGTGATTTCTCTTGGTAACCTTGGATTGAGAGTACCTCTGTCAGAAATCCTTTCTGCAACGAAAAGTTTTGATCCCGAAGGAGTGATTGGGGAAGGGGGGTTTGGGAAAGTCTACAAAGGAACGATGCGGGGTGGAGTAAAGGTGGCAGTGAAAAGAAGTGAGCCTGGACATGGACAAGGTTTGCTAGAATTCCAAACAGAAATAATGATACTGTCCAAGATTCGCCATCGCCACCTTGTATCCTTGATTGGATACTGTGTCGAGAGATACGAGATGATTCTGGTTTATGAATTCATGGAGAAGGGCACATTGAGGGATCATCTGTACAATTCGAACCAGCAGTCGCCAGAGTTGTCTTGGGTTCAAAGGCTAGAAATGTGCATAGGAGCAGCCAAAGGCTTGAACTACCTTCATACTGGTCTGGATGTGCCAATCATTCACAGGGACATCAAGTCCACAAACATCCTGCTGGATGGACAGAACGTGGCAAAAGTTGCAGATTTTGGGCTTTCGAGATCCGAACCTCTTGATCAATCCCATGTTATTACTGATGTTAAGGGCAGCTTTGGGTATCTCGACCCCGAGTACTTCAGATGCATGCAACTCACCCAAAAATCTGATGTCTACTCGTTCGGAGTCGTACTCCTGGAAGTCCTTTGTGCTAGACCAGCTGTGAACAACCTGCTGCCAAGGGAGCAAGTGAACTTGGCAGACTGGGGGATGTCTTGGCAAAAGAAAGGGCAGGTTGAAGAGATCATTGACCCTTGGCTAGTGGGCAAAATCAATCCAGGCTCACTCAAGATCTTTGGGGAAACTGCAGGGAAGTGTTTGCAGGATAATGGCATTGACAGGCCTAGTATGGGTGATGTGTTGTGGGGGTTAGAGTATGCTTTGCAGCTTCAACACAGTGGAATGCCGGTAGATCCACCCACAGATGTTTCGCTGCAGTTTCCACTGCCTGTTTTTCGTAGCTTGCCTTCTCACATCATGCCCAGCAGTGAGGATGAGGGTTCACAAACTACAAGTGGTGGGCTTGTGGTCTCTGAGGTTTTCTCCCAGCTCAAAGTTGAGGATGCAAGATGATGCATAATCTCAGTATACTTTCATTTGCTATGTTATCCAGATCAATTCAGCAGTATGTGTCTTGTTGTACTTTTTTTTTTTTTTTTTTTTTTTTGGTTTTCTCAATTCTGCATGTGGAGTTGCAAGCACAAGTGCATACATGCATTTCCTGCAGATTAATCTTCTTGTTTGTGTTCTGTGAAAGTGGAAATAACATTTTCACAGTTTGTAATTACATGAAATCTTTATTATTCTGTAATAAAGACAATTAAATCACGAGATGTTAGTAAACACATTATGAAATTTTTGATTTAGGGCAACCCCCATCCAAGTTGATTGTCCAGTTGCATGTGGTTTGTGGGCACCCTTTTGTCGGGAGAATAGGGTCACATGACAGACCCTATATATTAATTTTCTCGGCTCTTCTCGATTTGAGCCGATCATTTGTGGACATTTTTTATAGCTAAGGTTACAATGTTAGTTTTAGGCAAAGTACTCCTTCGGGAGTTGTCGGTGAACTTTCCTGTAAATATAAAAAAGTTGATAAATACACACAAAAGAAATGGACCTCCAACCTTGTAGTTGTAGTAGTGCGCTACCCGAAGGTCTAAACTACTAGGTTAAAAAAATATGCAAGTTAAACTTTCAATTGCTGATCATAATCTACATTATAAAATGGACCACTGAAATACATGTTAACTTTTAGTATGTTGTAGGTTTATTTTTATTGTATTACATATTTATTTTTAATATGTTTATTATATTTTAATATAATTTTTTTTTTCATGTTCTCAAAATAAATTTAATTTTCATTATACTACAACTAGTATTTGCCCCCGTGCGATGCACGGAATGGATTTGTTAAAATATTTTAAGAATATTTGGATCGATAAATAATTATATAAATTATTATTTTGAATATTATATAATGCAATTGATGAATTGAGTTGGATCGATTGTATTTTATAATGTTATCATTACTTGAATTCAATCAAATAATTGTCCAAAATTAATAGTCAATGTATAGATGTACGCATTAAGTGCTGAAACTTTAGATATTTTAAATATCAGTGTTCAGTGAATTATATCTGGAGATCATATTTAATTTTGAGTGCATTATTAATATTCATTATCTTTTCCAATTGGTCTAATTTGTTTTCCATCTTTAAACAAAATCTTTCTTACACGTTTTATACATAATTTTACATCTTTATATATGAGTATTGTAATGAGGTCCTATAATTTTGAATAAAAATGTGCTACAAAACCAGTCATAATTAATTTCTTTTGAATCATTCATATGCAAGAACATTTCCATCTTTAATTACACAATTTTCCTTATAAATTGTGGATACTAAACGATTCTATTCAATTTCCATTTGTAAATATATATTACACAACTATATTTCCAACAACATATATACACACATTTTTTTAATATTTCCAGTAACTTTACATTTTATAAAATATATAACCGAGATTAATATTTTTTCCATCTCGGCTAAACTTTGTTTTTTTTTTTTTTTTTTTTTTTTACATACTCGGCTAAACCTTATAATTACACAATCCTTATATTCTTAGTATAAAATAACATTTGGTGTAAAAATGATTAATTTTCATATCGATTAATATTCTACAGTGTGTTTATAATTGGCCTAAATTTCGTGTCATTTTTATTCTCAATCAATTATTCTTTTTAATACATATTAATTAATTAATTAATTAATTATTAATAACAGTTTTTTTTTTATTTCCACTAACTTTACATTTTATAAAATATATAACCGAGATTAATATTTCTTTCCATCTCGGTAAAATGTTGAGATGCAAATTTCATTTTACATTTTTATTAATACATTTTATACCAGTAATTTTTATATTTTTAGTAATTTATTAATATTCAAGTATTAATACTCATTTCCTTTTCCAATTGGCCTAATTTCCATAAAAATTTTATATTTTCAGTAATTTATTAATATTCATTTCATTTTTATTTTTTAATCAATTATTAATATTCATTTCATTTTGTGCATTTGAGTCAGTTTCAAAACATTTTAAATTTTCAGTCAATTATTAATAGTCATTTCCTATTTCAATTGGCCTAAATTTTGTGCCGTTTTTATTCTCAGTTAATATTTTTGTAATATTCTTTTAAATACTATAATTTCACCTATGGACATGCTGGTGTGGGTAAACGAATAAAACAAATGAATATTCAAATGAATGTAAACCCATTAAATCTTTCAATTTAAACAAAAGACATAAATTTTAAATATAAAATCTATATGCTTATTCGTGCAGTTTACTGAATATGTTTATTACCAATTAATTATATTACCAATTTTATATTATAAAACACCATACATATTATTACCAATTATGCTATTATGTTATTACCTAATTAATATTTTTGTACACGGTATTACCAAATACCAATAGAATATTTAATTAATTGACTACAAAAGTTTGAGCAAAAAAATAAAATATTAAGATTTGTTATATATATATATATTATGTATTATTTTTATAATTAAGTATATATATATTATGTATTATTTTTATAATTAAGGTATAATATTATTAAATTGAAATTATTTAAAATATATAGATCTACACTAAGAAAAATTTTATTAATTTCATATATTAAAATTATATATTTATATTAAAGGTGAATTTATAAATAATTAAGTTTCAATAAGTTTAGTTATTTTCTAAGTTACTAAGACTATGTGGTCTAATGGTACCCGGGTTGGACGTCCGTTTGGACGGTTGTGAGTTTGAGCCTCATTGAAGGCATTATTGGTTCTTTGTGTTTCAGTAGGTGGAAGCATTATTGGTTCTTTGTGTTTCAGTAGGTTGAGAAAGTATATGCACACATACTACATTGTAATAGAGTCAGTAGCATTAAAAAAAAAAAGTTATTTTCTAAGTTATATATGGTTAGTAATGAATATTTTCGATATTAGATTATGCTTATATATGATTTACCCATTTTAACCATCACTATATTAGATTAATATATAATTATTTTAATATAATATATAATTAAATCTAAATATATGGTTAATATTTATTCAATATTATTATGAAAGTATTACAATTATAAATTTACAATTATAGCTTTGTATATGAAAAACATAGAAACTTAAATAGTTTAAATCAAAATTATTAAAAACAATGTATCTACAGTACAAAATGAATTATACTTGATTTAATAATTAATTATTAATATAATTGCCTAATATAAATTTACAATTATTAATAATTATTGTGGTTATATTAAGCATTAAATAAATAAATAAAAAAGAATAAGAAAAACAGAAGAAGAAATAATATATAGATGACATACAATATCTTACATAAGGCAAATTGATATAAAATTTAATCTAGAATTATAGTAGGAATAGGAAAGTAGGATATAATATATTATATTAGGAATTGTATTAACATATTTTAATGTACAATTGTTGTACACAGAAAATTTTTATTTTTATTAATAGTATAGAAAAATTTAATTTCATTAGATTTTAAATAAATGTTACCATAATTATATGTAGTAATTTGTCATATATAAATTTCTTACTTTAATAATATTAATCATATGATAATCTATTCTATTAATAAAAAAATAAAATCCTCCCTGCATAACACAAAGAGAACAATAAAAAAAAAAACATCATCAGATACTTGGTACTTAAAACACAACCCACAATATAAAAAAACACAACCCACGATATATATAAAAGAACATTGGTTTTTATAAGAATTCAATTACAGGAAACCAAGTTTAGGTCAATAAAAGCATAAAACACAAAATGGTACTTTCAAGTATGTACATATAGAGTATTCTAATCTATTGGCCTTCAATTCTTTCTCAGAATAAGAAGAAGTATCTTCATTAGATGAAGAGGAACCACTTTCCACCACCTTCTTCTGAATCTTGCCATCGACTTAACTTGTTTTAAAGGCGAATCCTTTTTTTTTTTTTTTTTTTTTTTTTTTTTTTTTTGCGCTAGCCTTCTCGACCGCAGTTTTCGCTTCTCACTTAACTACAAAGTCACCAAAAAACAGTGAACTCCGGTAGTATCCCTTACTGACTCCGTAACCATTGCATCACACAAATAACAAAAACCATGCCTGAAAATAAAATATATAAACAATATCACAAAATTATTGTTTTAAACAAAGCAATAATACAAAAAAAAAAAAAAACATATAATACAAAATTTTTAAAAAAACAATAATTAAAAACAAACCAATAATTAAAAGCTATGGAAGATCAATTACAGACAAAAATAATACGAAAAAAAAAATTCTAAAAAATTAAACATTTTTGCATCGGCTTAATTGGAGCAATTACAACTGGTCTGGAGTGGCATCGACCCGGACAAATCCATAATAAAGAACGTAAACGGAAAAAAAAAACTTTTTTTTCACAGAAATAGCTAGAAGAGAAATTGTACCTTTAATGCATTGAAATATGCATATTAGTTTGAGCAGCTATTGAACCACAATGATTAAATTGATAAATTGGTGATTGAGAGAGTCACCTACAAGGGAAAAGAGGGATGCAATGCAAAATGAAGACTTTTAATTTTCTTTTTTTTTTTTATTATTATTATTATAAGGAAGGAGTGTGAGTCATAGTATTATTATTATTATTATTCTGTAACCTATAGTTTGTAATGTGTGGTTTTAGAATAAGTCTCTGATTAGTGTCCTGATAGATAGGAGAGATTAGAGATGTACTGAGATATACACTCGTGTAATCTTTTACAGTTGCAACTGAATTGAAACTTTGAACTTCCATTTGGTATCAGCCTAAACTTTTACGATCCTTTCTCTCACCTTCCACACCTCAATTTTTTTTTCCCCGTACCCAACCATGTCGGTCAGTTCATCGGAGAGAACGCCTTCCGCCACCGGCGGCTCATCTCCGGCGACACCAAATCCGTTAGCCGGTGCCCACCACTTCATCTCTATGAAGTTGAATTCACGCAAGTTTCCTCAAGTAAAGTTTAAACCTATCACCTCCCACTTAGGTGAGCAATTGAGTACCAGTGGACCACAAGTCACTTGGTATGTAAAATGAAATAAATTGTATTTATAAATTTGTAAGATTTTTTCAAAAGGAAATTGTATTTATTTATTTAAGGTATTTCCATAATTAATTTATTATATTGATATTCCTAATTAAGTCATTATATTTCATTCATTTATATACAAAAATGAATCTATACAATATATAAAAACAAAATC